ATAATAGAAAATAATGTTAATTATTTAAATTATTTTGTGAAATTATACTAGATGGTTATTTTTGTAATCATATACAATCTATAAAGTGACCTAGAAAATTCTATACACTAGCGAAAATAAAACAAATATTTTAAGTTTTAAAAAAGTTTTGTATTCTCCATTAGTAGAATATTAACATTGAAATCTTTTTTAACTTGAATGGAGGAGAGATATTTAATTAAGTAATGATTCTTAAGATATTTATTAGTTCAATTGATCGACTAGCAAAACGACACGTTTAAATTGCAACCATTTGAGGGTTAATCAAAGGATTAGTTAATTTGGTATGATCTTTAAATTTGGGGTGGTGGAAAAGAAGATTTCATTTAGATAAAAAAAAGTCCAAAAGATTGCCAATCTAAATAAAGAGTTAAAATTTTTGCAGTCAATATTTTGGACTCCAATCAGTTTTCACCATTTTGCACAATCACTTTTCCATATTTTATTAAAAGAAAATGATGGTAGAGTGGCAGTTGCAATTATTATTCTGAAGTAATTCTTATTTCTTAAGGGCTAATCTTTAGTCTCATCATAAAGCTAGAATGAAAGATAATGCACCCTCCGTTTGACAAAGAATGATCTAGTTTGACTTGACACGGAATTTAAAAAAATAAAAAAGACTTTTGAATCTTGTGGCCTTAAACATGTCACGTGGAAAGTTAAAATTAAAATGTTACCAAAAAAGAAAAAGTCATTCATTTTGAAACTGACTAAAAAGGAAAGGAGGAGTATTGATTTTATAATGTCTCTTACTTTCTTTTGATAATCATGATGTCTGAGTCAATTTACACGTATCTTGATTAGTTTTGTGTAATATATGTCATTTCTCACCAGCAATATGTATCATGTAACTCTATTCACTAAGACTAAGACAGATGGAAAGAAATCACCACCGTGTTTTTTGCTTTGTTGAAATTTAACTCACTCACTTCAAAATTTCAATACAAGCATATATTTTTTTCTCTTACTATGTCATTCCAAATAAAAAGCATTCATATGCATTAAATTGATTTTTTTTTTATTTAAAAAGAACATCATACTATAAACTACAAAACCTATAAGTTTAGGATTGTGACAATTCCTTGAAAGAGAGGGTCCTATTTTCCCTCAAAGTTCAGACTTTAAATTCCTTCTTTTATGAAACATTATTGCCTCTATGATGGTACTACATAAAATTTGAACTTAGCTTCCTTTGTAGGGCATTTATTATTGGTCTAAAATGATCCATTTTCAAATTTGATGTAAACAACACACTTATTATAAACTTATATGATTCCCTACTTATTAGGCACATCTACATTGGTCCAATTTTTTTTAAAAAAATACTGTCATTCGTCGATTTTAACCATGTTTGCGCTATTTTAGTTTGATCTGAAAATAATTTAAGCATCCATAGTTACCTTATATGGATGTAGGTAGGTGTTTAACTTAATTATTGATACTCTCCCTATTAATGTGTGCCAAATTGTACCAATTAATACAAGCTAATGTTATAAACATTGTAAGTTTGTTCCACTATAAAAATAAATAAATAACCAGAAACATATATAAATATATCATTCGGTCATCTAATTATTAACATGGTCAAAGTATTGATATATTTTGATTGTATATATAATTTGGCTATGGAGCACAAATAGCAAAACTGTAGCCAAAGAGCGCTAGTATGATTTTATCTTTGCTATTCCTAAAATTTACTCTAATATATAATCATAATAAAGAAAAATAGTAATTATTATTAGGTATTGAAAATTTATAAAAGAACAAATAAAGCAATTAAAAATCTTAGTAAGAATGGAGCTGTTTAGATTATGACTCGCATTTTAAGCCATTTCAATCCAAGTAGCTTTTGGGTGGGTCAATAACCCACTCATATATTAATTCCAACTCATTTTGACTTCCCAAATTCAGTCTAACTCATCCAATGGTCATCTCTATACACTAATGATACATGGTATACATATTTTGTGAACTAGATCACACAAAGGTATTGGCCCGTACTACCGTAGTTGCAAAAGCATCTGGGCTTTTATTAGTTCTAGGGCTCTGAACTTGGGCCTCGTAATAGTTGCAATTGAACTCTTTGTTGATTGTGTGGCTTCTTTGTCTGTTATTGAGTACTGGGCTTTGAACATGTAACAAATAGGGGAAAATAAGCAAATACCCCATAAAAGCAAAATAATTACAAACATATGCCCCTTTACATTCATACCCCACTAAATAATTACACTATATACCCTATTTACTAATTTCGCTTAACTGATACCAAATTAGTATTATATATACTATATTTGTATCATTAAGGCTGATAATTTCGCTGACTTGATACTAAATCAGTATATATATACTGTACTGGTATCATTAAGGTTTGTTGTCAAGAATTACTCATTAGAAAATGATACTATAAGAGTATATATATACTCTTATAGTATCATTGACTAATGAGTAATTTCTGAACAAGAAACATTAATGATACCACAACATTATACATATATACTTTTATAGTATCATTGACTAATAAGTAATTTTTTAACAAAAAACCTTAATGATACCAATACAGTATATATATATTGATTTAGTATCAGTTAAGAGAAATTATCAACCTTAATGTTACCAATACAGTATATGATACCGATTTAGTATCACTTAAGCGAAAATTATCACCCTTAATGAATGGAGGTATGGACTGTAATTATTTATGAGAGAATGGGTATTTCCGGAATTACTTTGGATTTGGGTATGAACTTGTAATTATTTTAAATTTGATACTATAAGAGTATATATATACTCTTATAGTATCATTGACTAATGAGTAATTTCTGAACAAGAAACATTAATGATACCACAACATTATACATATATACTTTTATAGTATCATTGACTAATAAGTAATTTTTTAACAAAAAACCTTAATGATACCAATACAGTATATATATATTGATTTAGTATCAGTTAAGAGAAATTATCAACCTTAATGTTACCAATACAGTATATGATACCGATTTAGTATCACTTAAGCGAAAATTATCACCCTTAATGAATGGGGGTATGGACTATAATTATTTATGAGAGAATGGGTATTTCCGGAATTACTTTGGATTTGGGTATGAACTTGTTATTATTTTAGATTTTATGGCCCATTTATGTAGTTTTCCCTAACAAATATGTATTATGGGCCGTTAATGGGCTCGCTGTTTTCTATTTTGAAAAAACTGTTTTGTGGACCAAAATTCAGTACATCCACAATCTTAAGATGGGCCAACCTGAAGGAAGTATCAGATTCACCTGTCTGTTGGTAGAATTCATTTTTAAATATGTTTTTTTTTATGTCAATTTCATGGAGAATGAATAGGGGGAATTCACAAATAACCACTTTTCAACCCGAGTAATTATAATCATGGAGTTTTATTCGTAAGAGTCGAGTTGAAATTGAAGAATTGAAAAGTGGGTAACCCTCGATATTATATGGTAGAATAATACACCTAAGAGTGGTGAAATCTTTATTTATTAATTACATAGATGTCTCGAATTTGAATCAGTTAATAACATTTCGTAAAGAAAATTGTAGTTTAATGGGTGATTGTAGCTGTGACACTACAACTATGCTGCCAGGACTAAAAAATGAGAATGAGATTTTATAAATTTCGAAAAGCAAAAAAGGAAGGGACAAGCCTAAGACAATGAAATTAAAATATTTAAAAGTTTTCTTCAGCTTTTAGAAAAGTAATTTAGCATATTAAGACCTTATAATTCCATAAAATGAGAATCTTTTTTAGATCCCAAAAAAATAAAATAAAATAAACTGGACCATATGGTACACAAAAAAGTAAGAAAAAGTAGAATAGGGCCCAAAAAACCAGCTAATTTTACCACTCGCATTCCTCGTCAGAGTTTGCACCTTTAATTTGCCTTTTGCTCTGCCCAACCCTTTTTACTTTTTCTTTTGTTCTCCTTCATTTTTCAAGTGTTAATGATCGATTTTGTGCGTATGTCAATTAATTTTATAAGATATTGGAGTGTGTCATTTTTTACTAATAAAAATATCAGATAACTCTTTTCATTAATATTTGGACATATAAGAATAAATCGCTTACTATTTTTATTTCAATTGAAATTTGGACTTAAAAACAATAATTCTCAACTCAACTCAATACATTAACTATTAGGCGACAACCTAGGGCACATTTTTCTTTTTAAACTTTTTTTAACCCCACCACTGAAAAGAAAAACCTCATTGATCTTATATTGTCTAGTTGGAATTATAGTTGTAGCATTTTTCTGACTTATTATTATACTTAGGTTTTTCTAATACACATTAATCTTTTAAAATATTTGTTGTAAATGATGCTAATTAAAAGGTTTATTGTGGAGTGGAAAAGTTCAACATGAATGTGAAGAGAGAGAAACAAAAGTTACGACACTTTACATTTCCGAAGATATTCATTAGCTTTCAATTTGTTTATCATACTTTTTCTTAAAATTATTTAAATAAAAACTTTCTTATCTCTTTAATTCTAACGTTCGATGTGACTTATTTACGTTACAATGTTAAAGAACATTTTGGTACTTCCATACAACTTTAATTTAACGGCATAAAATTTAAGAGAAAACTTTATTTTTTTAGAACTCCGTGTCAAACAAATTGAAACAAAATAAGTTTTTTCCACCGGTATATATACTAAAATTACGGCTTTAAGTAAGTGGTTATACTAAAAACTTGTTGTTAATTAACCTAAAAACATGGTCAATAATCTGTTAGAGTCGAATCAAATTAAAATATGAGAAATGCATATAACTAAAATTTGTTAGATTTGGTCATATCCAAGAAAAAAATTCGCCTTGATTCAAGTCATCCGTTGTAACAATAAATATTTTATTTACATGTCATATTATATATGTACAATTCCAATAGACTAAAAAGAGTTTATTTAATTTGCTGCCTAATATATTCCCTTGTTTTTCTATATATTAGACCTCCAAACTCACAACACAAAGAATGCTCCTTTCATAACCAAAAAATGATTATAAACACCCAAAATCTCTAATTATTCTCTAAATGAAGGAATTTGAGTATAAAGAGCTTGAAAAAGCCACAGAAAATTTCTCACAATCAAGACTCATTGGTAAAGGAAGTCATGGATGTGTATACAAAGGCATATTAGATGAAGGTAAGAATATCATAGCCATAAAGAAACAATCATTGGGTCTTCAAAAAATTCAAGACAACTCCAAACTCGAAAATGAAGTAAGTATTTTATCGTCTTTGCCTGAAAACTCTTTCATCGTTAACTTTCTTGGAACGAGTCATCATTGTCATCATGACGATGACGACTCGTCCAAGAATGAATCTTTTCTCATCATGGAGTACTTGCCAAATGGCACCCTTTATCAAATGCTTCATGCAAAAAATAATATCCTTCCTAATTGGCCCAAACGTGCCCAAATAGCCATTCAAATTGCTAAAGCAATCCAATTTCTTCACCAAACTAAGCCTAATTCAATTGTTCATAGAGATATAAAGTCAGCCAATATTTTGTTTGATTCAAATTGGAATGCTAAGTTGGCTGATCTTGGACTTGCTTTAAGGATGAAAAATGATCATCAGGACGAGTCACCGAGTCATAGTTCTAACTCCGTGACTCGTCCTGCTGGTACGATCGGATATCTAGATCCTGATTACACAAAACCAAGCAAATTAAGCACGAAAAATGACGTGTTTAGTTTCGGGGTCCTACTATTCGAAATTATGTCTTCAAGAAAGGCGATCGACGTATCGAAATCGCCTGTTTCTATAGTTGATTGGGCAACAAAATTAATTAAAGAGGGACAAAGTTTGGAAATTTGTGACAAAAGAATGCATGTACCATGGTACATGGAGTCCACGATAAAGAACATGTTAAGCATAGCCACACGTTGTGTCTCTCCAAAGAAAATAACAAGACCAACAATTGAAGAAATTGTGATGGAAATGGAGAATGTGATAATTGAGCCAATTAAGTATCCTTTATGGAATATATTACGAGGCCTAACACTTTTGAGAAGGAAAAGAAAAAGAAGTAGAAAAAATTGTTGTATTATTACTACAAATAATGTTACCAAGACATGTGCACAACATGAAAAGAAGTTATTGATTAGGGAAATATTGGCAGATAAAGTCACGGAATAGATGCAGAGGCGAATTCAGAATATCGATCGGATTCAATTTTTGTGTTCTATTGAATCATGAGCTACATTCACCTATGATTTGATGAATGATGATGAGGATAACTAAGTGATTGTTATTTCTATATTACGGTAACGATATCTTTATCGAAGCAGAATAAGTCTAATACGGGTGAGTGGATTACAACTCGAAGCAGTCAATAATGAGGCTTTTTAGGGGGCATGCATTGCCAAACACAAGATTCCAAAAGTAGGTAGAAGTGGAATTATTTATCAAAGATATTGTAATTTACTACTTATTTTGTATGGTTTTTTTCCTATAAATGACGTGTTATTCTTTGGTGTCGTTACGCTTTTATCTATGGCTTTTTGGGGAACTCTTAGTGAAATATACATAAATTCTCCAACATTTGCATTGGGAGAATGTTTTGACCAGAATGTTTGTAGTTTGATTTTGCTACTCACGTTTCTGAAATAACTATATTTGTCATATTTCCTTATTTGTTTGAGGCAGAAGATCTATCGAAAATAGTCTCTCACTTTTATTTACGTTAGACCCCACTTATGAGTATGATATTGTTTTTGTTGCTTACCTACTCCAGCTATACTTCTTTTAACATGTTAACGTTTCATTAACATTCTACTCTGTTATATTTACTCAAATTTATCTCTCACGTAACATCATAAAAGAAGTGCACAGCACTTAGAATTTTCAATTAGTGAAAAGTTTGGATTAGACAAAATTTCTTCGTACTCCAATATGACTCGTCATAATCCCCTAGTGTCTTGTATTTTTCTGCTCGTGTCAATATCTAGTCGTATCGTGTTGTCGAGTCTCTGTTCGTGCAACAACAGGAATTTTATTTTATTTTTAAAATAAAAATTAGTTAGGATTTATGGGGGAGATTGAGAATCATAGTTTCTGTATTCCATTTCTCAAAAGTCTTGTCTAAAAAGAAAATGACTTTATTCTGTAGATGTATTATATTATTGTTTCGTAAGATTTGTGTGATCTTTGTCAATTGTAAACAAAATGATCCGGTGGTAAAGGAATATCGACTCTGATGAATAAACTAGTACATGTGATTAGATACCCTTACTTCAATTAAAACTACAATTTATTTATTAATAAAAGAAGATAAAATATTGACAAATCAACCTATAGGACAAGTAACGCCTAGTCTTATTTTTCTCGGCGATAGTACGTATCGTCTACTAGTCCTCAACATTCAAATAGCAACTAAGTGGATGCGCACTTAAGCTATCCAAGCATGCCAAAAAAAGAAGCAAGAATGGAGAACTTAACCAAAAAATAAAAAAACTGTTCCAGAAACGGTGCTTGAATTGGAAATAGTGAGACTTGCCAACCAAGTATTAGAGAGTGCAGGAAATAGGTAGGATCATTACTTAAGAGGGCAGTTTCAACCAAGTATTAGATGATCCTCCCAGATGGGAAAACAAAATTGGAAGTCACAAAAATAACTTGTTTAAAATATCACAAACTCAACTCTAATGCAAGCAAGTACAGAAAAACATAGCCTCAGGGGATCCTCTAGCTCCATTAGTCCTAAAGCTCCATCTCCAATTTCTATCTAATGAGACTTCACATATTCTTGGACGATATGGAGACCCTCGGTCTCTTCACCGTAATCCTGAAGAACAATCACAAAATTTATTATGATGTATACAAGCTGAAGTGGGCAACTTATCATGTACTGTTTACGCAAATGCAAATATAAAGGATGTGTACCTTCACGACAACACAGCCACAACCAACAACCTTCCTTGCTTTACCTTCAGAATCAATCTTACATAACTGTAAAAGAAAAAAGATTAAGTCAATGAGTAAGTTAAATTTTAATTTACATCATACACTTCAATAAACATGGTTAATAATCAGAATAACCAACAAAGTTAATAATCAGAATCCTCTGGTGCCATATATACACATTAAACACAACTAAATAAGTAAAGGTTAAAGATATAACTCATGTGCAAACATACATTCCATTGATTTTCACAATATTAAGCAGCTAATCAGGTACAGTGAAGACTGAGGAACCTTAAATTCCACAACTAAGGTTTCATGAATTACTTACACCAGCCCATTCGCCAAGAGTCTTTGCATTGGGAACTGTAATCAAACTGACATTGTGATCAGCACAAAGTCCTTTCACCAGTTTGACATAATCTGGCTGATCACAGTCCTCTGCTAGCACACAAAGCTGTGCAGCATGCTTCTCAATGACCTTAGCACCTTCATGAAGTCCTCGAGCAAGCCCTCCATGAGCTTTAGACTTCCTGAGCACCAGCTGTAGAGCAGTCATGATATCCATGGGCTCTCCAAGTGCTGGAGAAGGAGTCTCAACAGCGGGAACAGCAACAGCAGCATCCTCTCTGCAAGTATACAAATGTCAGATAAAGTACACCTTATATCAAAGGTTCAAGATAGACATACATCAATGGCCATATTGGCACAGCAACAATTACCATCCATAGGCACATAACAATGGTATAAAAGATAATTCCACATGAATCACAAACATCAATACAGAATGTTGTAAAAGGTTTCCCTGTAATGGAGTACAGGACCATCACAGCAAATAGTAAACTTAATCTAAATATGCAATCTCTAATCTAGCCAACTTTTTATGATTGATTTTGTCTACATCCAGATAACATAAACAATGTCCACACAGCTATAAGTTTTACAATATATAAGCAGAATTAAAACACTCATCTAGGGTAATGAATTTCATTATGCTTCGACAAATTAACAAATCAAATGCCGAAGTATTGGATAGTTTTATTAGTTGGTTTCATAGGAAGCCATTAAAATAACTAGTCTGATTACAGGGAATGTTTTGGTTCTAGTTTCATTAAATCTAGAGACACAATAAATTTGCACATTACACTTACCTAAAGACTATTCATTATAGGACAACCAAATCATCAAACAGTTAAAGATTTATCACAGGTCTAGATCACTACAAACCAAAAAGATAACAACTTTAAAGCCAGAAAGAATCAAGGAAACAGAATTTTAACAAGAGATCTTAAAAATGGCAAATGGCAACACTTACCCAGACATTTTTTCTTTCTTGATAAAGGTTAAAACCCACAAAACCCAGCAACCTGTTGTTTCCAAAAAGTCGAACACGAAACTCAGTCAGGTAAATAGAATCAATAACAGACTCCATAAACCCTCATACTAAATATATCGTGTCAACTCATCCAAAATTGAACCACCCCCAATAAAATTTTTAAAAAGATTGATTTCACAATAGAGTAAAAAGATCCATTAAACTTCCCAGACACTAAAGAAAATACCAAAATCATGGGTTTACAGTTCAGTTTAGAAACAAAGGGTTTCTAACCTTGAAGATTTTACAGACGAAGCAACTGCTCTGAGAGGCTGCAGTAGAGGCAAAGGGGGCGTTAGGGAAGAAGAGAAGAAAAAAGTTTTTATATATATATATGAGGATCTAAACGGCAGCCCTAAAAAAGCCCTGCAGTTCAACTTTATTGGGCTCTTAGTTGGGCCCAAAAAAAGAAAGCATTCCTATTTAACTTCTTTGTACACTAAGTTGAGCCCAAGAAAGCATTCTCTTGGGCTATAAGTTGGGCCCAAAAAGTCCTATTACTAATTGTGAAAATTTCTAATATGACATATATTATACTAATATTTTCGAGTTATAGCAGTAGATTTAGACTTTCAAGTTATAATATTAAAAATTTCAGGTTGTAACAAATCATTAAAAAAAAGTTATTTTTAATAATTAAAAACATTTGATTTGAAAAGAATAAAAAGATTAAAAAAAAAAAACGTTTACTGAAGGAAAAAATGAAAAAACGGAAATAGGGATGACAATTAAATTTGAATTAATTTAAGATAATTATTAATTAGCATGAATTAAGGAATTTCAAACTAATTAAGAATATCCAGTTTCCTTAATTCACTCCAATTTGTTAAAATTAAATTAAAAGTCTGATTTTATCCATTTTTCTTTCACGTTTCTCTCTCTTCGATTTTCTTCCAGAAATTGTCACTGGCGACAAATTGAATTTTTTTTTTAGTTTGGAAAAACCTGTTTTTTTTGTGATGGACAACTACGTAAATAAAATTTGAATTGATTGATGATAATTATTAATTAGCATAAATTTAGGAGATTCAAACTAATTAGGAATATTTAGTTTCCTTAATTCACTCTAATCTGTTAAAATTAATTAAAAAGTCTGATTTTATCCATTTTCTTCTACGTTACTCTCTCTT